AAATCTCTATTGTAGACTGGGACTAAGCCGTAAACTTACGGTAAGGCAGAGAAAAACTTAAGCCGTAAGCGCTTAGTCCCAGTCTACAATAGATGATTTAAGCCCTAAGCTTTAAGAAATTGGCCAATCACGGTCAAGTATGAGTAGAATGCGCGACTGTGATTAGTCAATTTCTAAGTCCCAGTCTACAATAGATGATTTAAGCCCTAAGCTTTAAGAAATTGGCCAATCACGGTCAAGTATGAGAAGAATGCGCGACTGTGATTAGTCAATTTCTTAAGGCTTAGGGCTTAAATCTCTATTGTAGACTGGGACTTAAGGCTTAGGGCTTAAATCTCTATTGTAGACTGGGACTTACGGATGGTTGTCTGCCATCAGCCTATGACAAGCATATTTTTTCTCATTCTAGCTTACTGCACTAGTTCACCAGTGCAGGGGCTCGATTCTTAATTTATTCGAAGGAGAAACGTATACGAAAATTCTGCTCTTACAGAAAACTTGCAAGTTGATTGGCTATTCGCATGGCTTTAACCAATCGACTTTCATCTCTTCTGTTAGAGCAGAATGTTCGTATACGTTTCTTCTTCGAATGATTTCGAGAATCGGGCCCCAGGAACAGAAAACAAACCCATTGTGTGATGGACTTAAGGATTCGCATCCTGAATTTTATTGCGAGTTCGTAAACTCATCAAAGAAAGTGTCGCAGCCTCTGTGCTGACGACTGTATACCTCGTGGCCTGTATTGCGAGTACTCCAACCACTTATAATACCCGGCTTGTTATTGGAGTAATCTTTTGCATACGGCTGAATTATTATTAATTTCGTACCGGTCTATCCTATAAAACTGTGTTCGTGCGTGAAGATGTAGGACCGTGGTTTCTATTGTCGCAGAGCACGTAAGTGTACCTAACAATAAGTGTACGTTTAATGTCTCCGAGATCAACTGATAAAATTGGCTACTTATCCGAGATAAAAAGTCAGCGCCGAAACAATATAATTGCACATTTCTCAGTTATCTATGTGAAATTGTCAGGTCGGAAGGGACGGACAGCTATTGGAAGCATTTACAAGAGCTGTTACAATAACAACGAGCAAAATGTCAGGGCCGATGGTGCTGTGTCAGTTGTGGGTGGGTGGTGTGAGTAGATTTGTTCACGTAATTTTAAGGACAAAGTACTTCTCTACACACGGATTGCTCCAATGCCGTCACCTGAAATGAATTCTTTTATTTCAGCTGGAGCCATACATGACGGAAAGCTTCATCATGAATGCGTTTCACAAAATGGGTGAACAGCCGCAGACGATCAAAGTTATGCGGAATCGCTATACTGGCGAGCCCGCAGGATATTGTTTCGTACATTTTCCTACGGACGAAATGGCGCTCGATGCCATGCACAAGCTAAACGGCAAGGTGATACCCGGTTCAAATCCTGTAGGTATAGCGCAGTAAGCTTTTTAAGTACATGTTCGACACTTACGCTCGGACCATAATTGTTAGAGTTTCATAGCAGTAACAAGCATTGGCGCCTTTGATTTCTTGAAAGAAAAAAAGATGTAGGATCTCGACTCCCTCCTGAATCGTTAATTGCAATTTTTATGGAAAGGAAATTTTGCTCAACTTCCACCATAGAGAAACAAATTTGTAAAATTTATCAATTATTATTGATTGACGTTAAGTTTTCTATCCTTCGAGGGACAACCGTGCTCTTTACTTGCCTTGAGATTAAATTCAACAACTTTATTAATGGAATGTTTTCCCAGTCAAAATTTCTGGTGTTGTGTGTGCGGTGTGCAGGCCTACTAATTGCAAGATATAGCATATGGATAAGGAAATTGATTAGCCCATTTTCAGTGCCATTACTAGGCGGTATGCAGTGTATGCTCCAGCGTAGAGTGCAAAATTTGGAGGGGCGCCTAAGATCTGGTTTCCTGCCTACATTGTTTGACTTAAAGCTTAGCTTAATTCGTTCTTCTCAACTGTTACTTTAGAAAGAGACAAACATGAATTAAGCTAAGATTAAAGTTAAACGTTTGGTAAAACCGGACCTAAGCATTGTAACATTACCATTGTTACTAGACATGTATGCAATGATACTCCAGCATAGGGCGCAAAATTTCGAGGAGTGCGCAAGCGAGTCCCAGTGTGTAACGTCACCGCCTTATTTCCTTATGTATGTACTTGTGGACCAATCAGATTCCTTAAGCACATGTTACATGCTATACAAGTCTGTCTGAACCCTGACAATTCTGGTAACCAAATCCGAACGAGCGTTGCTCTGGCAATGAGCTAATCACCGTTGTGTTTTGTAGCCAGTAAGATTCCGGCTAAATCACGCCAGTACTTCAGGAAAACCTACCGCCGAGCGAGAATTCAGTATTTGGGTAGGCGATCTCTCCACTGACGTAGACGATTACTCTTTGTACAGAGCATTCGCCTCGAATTATAACTCTATCAGGACGGCTAAGGTAATATTGGACAGCTCTGGATTCAGCAAGGGCTACGGCTTTGTTAGATTCGCGAACGAGGAGGAGCAGAAAAATAGTCTTGTTACTATGAATGGTTACAAAGGACTTGGAACAAAGTCTCTAAAAATCTGCAACGCAGTGCCTAGACCTTGGAACAAAATGTCTGGGTATGTCTTGATTGTACATTAAATGTTATAAATAATAAGTGCGTATAAAGAGAATAAATTTCTTCTTCTAACCGTTATGTAAGCGATATTCTCTTTCGATATTGTCTCTGCAAGCAGAGAGAGACATATCTGTATTTATAATAATTCATAATCTCAGTTAATTTTTAATTACTAATTTAGTTCGACGCCATCGCAATCAACTTCTGAGTACGCAGCATCGAACATGAATTCAGATTCGTATAATTACTATGACACGTCGTCGTACTGGAATAGTTACAGTGCTTGGCAACAAGGTTACTACGAAAGTGAACCGACGTCAGATGCCTATAATAGTTATGTATCTGATCAGAAACTCGAGGAAGATGAATTAGAATTGATCGGTATGTTATTAATTTCTTTATGATAGTGTAAGAAAATTAATATGTATCATATTTTATTCATTGAATCTTGATCCAATTGCTTTATATGACTTTCCTCTTTTTCTCGTTTTGTTTTATAGAGCATTCAATCCCCACTGACGTCGATAAAGTGAACAGAGAAATGATTGAACAAGATTATAATTTCTGGGATGCTTTGGAAAGTTCAAAATGGATTCCATGTGACACTGTAGAATTATGCTATTAATTATTAAGAACAAAAAATGAAAGCTACAACAAAGATACATATATTACCATGTTTACCACTCACGTATATGCAACACGAAAAATGTCGAAAATAAATTTCATACATCTTTTAAATATATAATTAATAAATGTACATTTTACCTTTACCAATGATGACATTAGAAATGATTGAACAATCACTTTTTGCGTATAACGTGGGCAATTTATTGCTAAAAAAAATTAATGCATTTTAATTTGCTCAATGTTGTACATGTGACAACTGTAGTTATTCTGCAGTTTATTCTGCAGTAATTTCAATAGTCACTTGTAGTCGATGATACAATTTTACAAAAAAATACTCATGGCAGTACTTTTAATGCTGATAACTTTCATAACACTTCTATTACAGCATAATTGCATATAGTTGATGTGTTTACATACATCATAAGATCATCTTTTCGTTTGAGTTAAATTATTCTCGATTCCATATCTCAACAGAATATTATGATTGTACCAGAATGTATAGTGTACTACATGTGTGTATACACAGGGTGTTCAATAAAAACCATTCAATATTTATATGATAGATAGGACACCATACTGAGTAAAAAACCTAAATGAACATAGGTCGAAAACAAGTTTTTGAGATATAGACATTACAGGTTTCTACATGTCGCATGCGATGTTCTCCTCCGATCCCCTGATTTTTGTCCATTGGACTATTTTTTATGGGGATATTTAAAAAGGATAGTGTATTCTTACGTGACCGAATCCAGCGTGCTTGTTAAATAATTCGACAGAGACCTGGAATTTTCGAGAGAGTTCGCGACTCTGTAAGAAGATGCCAAGCGTGTATGGAAATGGAAGGAGGACATGGAAGACCTTCCGTAAATATCGAGATAATAATTTAGACAGATTATCTTCTTCTCACATCGCATGCGACACAGAAGCCAGTAAGTCAATCATATAATGCTGACATACAAAATGTTTATATCTCAGAAACGGTTGAGTTTTTGACCTGTTTATTTAGGTTTTTTTACTTAGTATGGTGTATCCTATCTACCATATAAATATTGAATAGTTTTTTTTAACACCCTGTATATATATAAACCGACTTAAAATAAAGAACCATAGTATCGGGGCAATATACTTTTTGTATATCCATTATTTCTCATCTCGCTCTACAAAATTCTTGATGTACAAATTTGAGCGACAAAACAAATATACATGTATAAAATTCGACTGTCTACAGTCTTCTGAAAAAAAAAGTTTTAATAAACAAAACATATGGCCCTTGTTGCACATACATTGCTCAATTCTTATCACGTTTATAATAAAATCTCTATATCGTATCGCAAAGCTCTGTATCGGAAAGCAAATCTATCCACAGAGAGGAAACATCTTATACTATTACATTTAATTATAATTATAATACTACATATACATATGTATAATATGCACATTATACTTTCACTAATTAGTATAAAAAACCATTTTACACGTGTGTACGTAAAAAAACGAACATTTATCTTGTAAATTTACAACGTTTAACATCCCCATCAAGGATATGGTCTGTTGATAATTTTACTTGTTTAGTTTTTTCTTTTTAAGTTCGATTATAATTAAATGCAATGCAAGAGACCTTTTAATCAGAATCATCTACAATGCTCGACTCGACATTTTCCGATTTAGTGGTTAAAAGTTCTGATGATTTATTCCCAGACGCCGCGCTAGGTGTGATTGTTGTAGTGGAGTCAATGTTCGAGGCTACCATATAAACTTGTAAAATAGTATTTCCAGGATTTTCTGTAGATTCCTTCGAGACAATCACCACGGCTCCTGGCTCCATTTGATTAATATTTGGTATCATCGTCATAATATGATCGGAACAAGAAGTTTCCGTATTTTCACTATTTGTAACTGGTGTATTTACATATTCTGTAACCTCCACAGCTATGTGTGATGGTATCATAGACTTGTCATCTACCGGCGATTCATTCCCGGTATCACTGTTAAGTGTATCAAAATCAGGCGCTTGTAACTTCCTTATCTTCTTCGACAGTCTGCCGGATCTAGTCGGTCTGGCTTGATAAATCTCCTCAGAGCTGTCTGAATCGGCATCTGTATAAGATCTGTAATCGTCGAACATCTCGGACTTATCATTCAAACGTTTCTTCGACTTCCGCGTTTTGCTTCTTTTCTCCATTTGTTGCTGAGTGTTATTTGTATCGCTATTTATTTCTGTATCGATTTCATTTGTCATCGAAGTTACAGTATCTTCAGCATCTTCAGCTTCTCGATCGTTGGACAGTGCCTCACACTCCCCGATACTTTCTGCTACTAATCCTATAATTATTTATTAATTTTCCATAAATGTAATAATTTGTATAAAATATAATTCTTTTATATGTTCATTCGTCGAGAAATTTTATTATTATATTAGTATTGATCACGTTAATGAAATCAAAATTACAATGTACTTACGATGCTTGCGTTTTCTGTCAATTTTTCTCAAGCATTGTCCGTTCTTAACTTTCTCCGATGGTTTCTTAGACGTGTCTGGAATATTTTCTAGTTTTTGCAGCATTGCTAAAGGCAAAATACATTTTACAGATAACTTACTCATTTAGAAAAGCAATAAATCAAAACTTGGGGGAAAAACAAATAGAAGACACATCAGGACTGGTACAAAAATCCTTCAATATTTACAACAGTAGTTGTAATTTCTTAAAGTTTTCACGTACTCGTAAACCATTATTTTATATATTACAAAACTTGTATGAACAAACAAAAGCAGAATTTAAGAGAAAAAAAAAAGACTATAAATGAACATACCTAGTTGCTCTTCTAACAAATCGGTATCGAATTCTTGGTGATATTTCAGAGCCTTTTCGACTAACTGTCGATTAACTCTCTCTTCCTTCTTGTACTTCTGTTTAATTTCTTGTCTACTTCTGTTCGGGAAGAGTGTCTGCATCAATAGAAAGTCCGTACCTACTACGTTCAAAACTCTGTAGAATTTAAATGTTTCCCATTTTGGCCACTCCTTGCTCCTCTTATGCTTTTTATAGAAACCACCGCCGTGGGTGTTTTCGTCCTCTATAGTAACCCCGCTCGCTAATATCTCTTCTTCTCTTTTCGCATCTGTGTGTTCTATTACGAGACTTTGTTCGTCTATTATTAACTGACCGTCGGGACCCACTTTCACCTGCGGTGTGGACATTGCCGATGGATCATCTTCCTCCTCCTCTTCCGGAACTTCCACCGGTCTGGAGAACAACCAGATTTTGATATTACAATAAAAGTTTAATATTTCAATTACATGGCAACTCAATATACTCACTGTGGCGTAGTAGACACTTGTCTTCGTTCAACTGGCATTTTTTTCATAGGATTTGTCACGGGATTATAATATATCAAATCGTACATTTTCAATTGGCTCCTTTCGGGGGTTCTATTTTCGTGCTTTAACAAGAACTCCCTTCTGGCCTCGGCCAGCTTTCTCGCAGATTCCGAAACCAGCATACGTCTTTTCTGGGTTGTTTTAAATTTCGAAGGGCTGTTTTGATTGTCGTTGGTAGTACTCTCCTTATTGCTTTGTACAGAGCAGACGGAATCATTTCGTACGCGACTCGGCACGACGGATTGCACTCTCTTGCTGTGTTCATCCTCGGACTCACTTGCGCTCGCGCCACTTCCCTGTATGCTGTTCTTTCTTATTCTGCCGCCACTGTCCAACCTTGGTGTAGGTCTCATGAAACATGGCCGACTCTGCTTTGTTGGAGAAGCTGAAAAATATATTAAAATACTTATTATTTTAAATATATACACACACGAGTAAATGTATTGGCAGAAATCAAAATGTAAAGTATTTTTCTTCGTGTCCTTTAATCTAAATTTCTTATTTTTTCCACACGATTCTCACCTATATCCGTTACTGTAGGCACGTCTGGCAGCGGAATACAATTCTGAACCAATTGATCGCCAATGTTGGGTCTATCTTCTTTTTCTTGTTCCTTTTGCTCAAATATATTAATCGTAGCTGCGTCGTCCTTTTTCTGTTCTTCTACCTTTGCAGCCTCCTTGCTAGCCACTTGTTCAGTCTCATGAATATTAGATATGTTTTCGTTCTTCTTTTCCTTATCAGACGCATCATTAGCATCAATAGAATCTGTAGAATCCTGTAGAGGCTTCTTCCGAACTGGCACGGCAGCCAAAGCTTTGATACGTGCTCGGCGCATAATGTAAAAATGTGTATTACGGTAGTATCTGTACAAGATAAACAGCAATGAATCATAGAGCGATGATCTAGTCCATCAATAGCATATACTTGTGCATGAAGAAATTTGCAAGTTTTGTCTGGACGACCGAAAGAAATGACATAACGAATCATTAGATAAACGGATTTAACGCCTCCCGGTCGCGTTTCTTTTGCGTGTCATCGCGAGAGACGTAGTGCGATCATTGATAAAATTCGAGCCTGTAATTCACAATGGCACGCAAAATCAAGGTAAATATTGTAAGATATATAGGATTTAATAGAAATAAAAGGGCGTAAATAGACAATTTAATAATTTAACGGAGATATGAGATTTATGTCGCCAGTAAATAGTTAACATTATCTAAAGTGATTATCTAATCAAATGGCCCAAGCACACAAAATTTCAGAATATAATAGATTGCAGTTACACTAGAACACTGGCAGTCCCTCGCCAGTTATTCACTCTACAGGTTCACAGGCAGTCACTTGCCTTTTCTCTCTTAATACGCTAATAATTTCCGTACTGGTCTACAACGGCACGCAACGAACTCCTTGTCCTCTCCGGCTTTTAGCCCGTCATTATTTCTTATTATTTCTATTTTTCGCATGTCCCCTTGCTAATGTCAGCCGTTCAAAACACGCTTGTTGGCCCATGTTGCTATAATCTAATCTACCTAACAGTTTTCGTCATAAAAATTATCCTTTGCTTCTTACAATATTGTAAATACGCGAGGTGTCACGTGTCTTAGAGGTTACCTCAGTGCGTCACTCACCGAAAGCTCGATTATTCCAAGGCTACGCGGTCAACTCGTTGATCTCGTTATCGCAGAACATGTGGAAGAGCACACAACCGGATCAAACTCGGTGAAGTGCGCGTCCGCATTAGAGAGGATACGCGGAAAAGTTGTTAACCGATACCGATCACTGTCCTAATGACACTCGTCTCTCTTTCTCAATTCATAAACGCATAGTAAGATGCAATATACAATATCGTACATACAAAACCACCTACGTATGTAGCTCCTGAAAAGAAAGAAGGCTAACACAGGCTATCGCATACAAAATCACATATAGCGAGTTCGATTGCTTGCACCGAATAGTCGAACACTGGATAATCTCTACAGTATTTGACAGTATTTGATAGTTTTGATATGTACCGTTCTCGCTCGGCAGATTCCAGCGCCTTACGTCCATTTTTATTTTTGCAACTATTCCGCTACTCCCATTTTCAACCACTGCCGATAAAGTCTCCACTTGGTGCGTATCCGTGCTACGCCCATTTTGTAAGCGAGTAATGTAGTGCCCGATTTTGGTTGTGTTCCGTGCTGCATGCATAAAATGTCGGTAACACGAGAGTGTTATTGATATTCCGTAACACGAGCGAGCGAGAGGGTATAAGAGCGAGCGAGATAGCAGTGAGAGCGAGCGAGGCAGATTTGAATTACTTGGAAGCTTCGAAAAATTTACTCGCGCGAATGGCGAATTTATTTAAAGAATACTAAAAATATTGCAAACAAAAAGTATTAACAACGAAAGAATGTGAAGCGCCAGTAGTTGATTAACGATAAAAGGAATTGTTGGACGACTTTAGGCTGGCAGATGGTTTCTTTATTTAAATCCGACGTTTAGACCGTACGGGTTGCGGTCCTTCTCAGAGAAATCAACAATCTACAAGTTTAATTACAGGAGATTGCAACTTAAAAGTATATGTTGACCACAAAACGAAATCGATGCAAGTCAATACAAACGGAATAAAATTCTTTTCGAAAACTTACAATATTACGTCAGTGATATTTAAACTAAGAGTGGATGTCAAAACAAAAATGGTATCAAATTCCTGTGCTTTTACGGTACGAAATGTCGCGAACGAGACTACTCTGGAGAAGAGCTGATCTCTTCGAGCGCTCGGTAAAGACTGTTCCGGTTCCTGCTAGTCCTTTCAAAGATGAAAGGCAAAATTGACGATGAATTCACGAAGTATCTTAATGATTACTCCACGCAATTCTACATGCTGCATATTGAAGAGCGATGAACTAAACAATATTAAATTCGTGTACTAGTGCACTTATTCGTCATAGTAAATTTATTATTTCGGAGCTCAGATTTACAATTAGCATATTCCTCAATTAGCAATTCTTTGAAAATTCTGGCAGACCTCCCACTCGTATAGATTTAAATTGAAAGGTAGGGTTGAAAGGGTACGCAAATTTGTAGAACAAGATTTATTTCGAAAATACGATTTATTAACCTGCCGAACCTAAATTCTGTAGCGCGCGCGCGCTCATACGCATTTTACACGCGCTCATCTCGCTGCCGCACGTTCTCACACATGCGATATATAAAATCTAAAAGTTCGCTATGTATATATGTATATGTATGTGTATACGTGCACATATATACACATACACAGGGACACGCACGCACGCACGCGCACACACACACACTCTCTCTCTCTTTCTCTCTCTCTCTCACACACACACACACACACATACTTAAACACCGTGACTTGTAGCTTGCCTGATAAATGTTACGCTATCTTAGAAGTCGTGTTAATTACTATGTGGATGCGAGTTGCTCGATCGTGCGTGATCGTCATCGCCGTCGTTACAATAACTACACAGAACTTTGCAGGACACCGTGATAGTACATCGAAGACACCCAACCCTCACTTTGCGATTCATCTTGTTCATACTTTATTTATTCTAACTCGTTTCTTGTAAAAAATGTATACCATCGATAGCCCACACTCTTGATCATCGGTGGAAATCTTGGAAGAAGAAAAGAGAACGTGTCATTAGAAAGATATTTTACAAGCTAGTTTTAAGTATATGCGTATCTCGAATTTAACGAAAAAATTTGAGAGTGTTGTTTATTCACAATAAATATTCGCAATGTGATATTGCTTATATCATTTTGGCCATGAAACTTACAAACCTTTTTTCGGTTACTAAAGGATATTTGGAAATAAGGATAAATAGCATTTCCAATTATCACAATGCATTTTGGAAAGTAATATCAAGTTTCTTCACTTTTATCTTTGCATAATTGGCTATGCATATTTCTTGAAAACTGTACATGCCTTTCTCCACGGACAATCAATCTTCTCTCTATTGCATCAAGCGATGCTACTCCTATTAAAGTTCAACGGCAGATTTATAGATGCGTGAGGTGCACAATTTAGCAATGAAAAAAATAATAAGCTTACAAATAAAAATTGGTAAAAAACATGTTTATCTTCCAACTTTTATTCTGGGTTTAATAATTTTGTTCAAATTAGAAATTTTATTTTATAATATATTCTTTATTTTAAAAAAGTAATTTTATCTAAAATTGATATATTTTTGTAAAAGTGCATTTTTAGCAAACGTACTTACTAACATTTTTTTCAACTTTGTGCTTCTGCGATCAGTTTTGCACTCATGCTCATTAGATTACTGTAAACATTATAACGATTGCATTATTACGTTGTGACTATATTAATTGGAAAGAATAAACGCAAATTTGAAACATCAGTATTATAAAACACAATGCACGCATTGAATTTAAGTGTGTTGCATTGTATAGCGTTTATTTAATATAAACACTAGATGCTAGATTCTTATTCATAACGTAATTGTCACAAATTAATATTACACTCTCTTTAAAGCTGGAAAACAATAAAAATCATAAATCTGACATACAACATATATGTGCGAATCTTTTATTATCACCCGTGTCAGCGAAATTAAGCAAATCTAGAAATTTATTTTCCGATTTTAACAATCTCGTAGTTAGCATAACTGTTTTGAGACAGAAAGGAAATCTGTATGCACACATTTGTTTCTATCTGATCAAAGCTACTCGTTCACATTCTTAATGTAACTTTCTCGGTTAGGCTGCATCGTTTAGGCGAATTTTTATCAAGAAATAATTTAATTGTCAAAAAAATCCGTGCTATCCAATAACGTGCACACTCGGCAATATCGAATTTTTTGTGACAAATACATTTTGTACAGTAAATTCGAGTAAAATTAACGTTTGTTCTGGTATGGCAATAACAATTAAATTTGTTTTACTAGATTCTATTATAAGTAAAACTAATTTATCTTGTTCACGAATTCACACGTGAACTCGAAAACGCGAGAAACCTTTTAATCAGTTGTTTCGAATATTATGACGTTTCCCAAAAATGAAGATACCTCATTTTTCGTCAAAGTCTTATAAATTGGTTAATTCGCGTTTTCTATCGAGTCGATCAGGTTTACATAGCTGATTTTACGACTCAATATTTATACAGTGATATATCGGGTCGGTTCTAGACGCGAGCAAGGATAAAAAACAAATTTATAAAATAAGAGAATGATGATAATTTATGTTAAATGCAAAGAAAGTTCGTTTTCAACTGCTTCAAATATCAATCTTTTTAATTTGAAAATTATGAAACGTATGTGTTAACTTAGGATGTTATATGTATTTATATGTATACATACGTACATGTGTATAATCTAATAATTTTCAGTTTATGTGACTTATGCATTATTTTTGTCGGTTTTTATCACTTTTTCTAATTTTGAAAAGAAGAGAAGCAATTATCAGTTCATTAATTAGCAAGGCTAATTTACAAATATCAAATTAAACGTGAATCCCAAATTAATAGTATGTTACTTATTTGCATGAGTTTTATCCTTGCAGTCTAGAAAGAACCCCCATCGTATAAATCGAACATCAAGAGCGACACACATTTCAGAGATGGTTATCCATAATTCTGATTAGCCGAGAAATTTTTAATTGCAGGCGCGATTATTTGCTGACTTAAGTGTAATTCTTTAAACACCTGACCCACTCACGAATTCATTAAAAGCGAATTACGGATGCAATTAACAATTAGTCGACGGCTATCGATAACGAGTTTTATCGTTGTACCTCTTCTCCGTCGATGAAAGCGATTTGCAAAATCCAAAGAACGGTTTGAAGACGCACCTCGGGATAAAAAAGAATACTAACGTATTAACTTCATAATCTTTCTTTCTACATGTATATGTAGTTCATTGTTTATTCTCTTATATGGACGTCGAACATTCACATATGAACAAGTCTGCGCATAGAATATACAAAGTGTGTTGTATGAAGTAAGAGTAAAAGTATTCTTCAGTAGGAAATTTGCAGATATAAGGGAATAGAAAATTAAATTTAATATTATTCAACAGACTGATATCAAAACATTTCTTTATAATATTTTTCTCTGCCTTTGACACTTTTAGAATATCAAGTCACTTTACATAGAGTATCCAGTCCTACATTACCACTTTGCTAATAAATTAGATAATAGTTATTATATTTATCGCGAAATGTGGCAGTTAGGTTTCAAGTTTTATTTGTCTGAATGTCTCATTTGGTATTATTAGAGAATGAAAATTATATGGCCACATTTAACACTAAATGAAGCATGAATACGAGCCATAATTTGCGTGAATGATGCTTCAAATATTCTGCACGTAGACTATGCATAGACTTTCAACATTCCCATATGCTTCCATACACCTACCCGGGAATAATCGCCGACGCATGTACACAGTGGCAGAGTTCCGTTAAAAGCGGGAACGCACATCGTGGTCCGTTAAACGTTGCTATTTACAATAGTTACATAGACTCGCCTCTACAAGTTAAACACGCAACATTATGACTGGTATTTACATGATAAGAGTAACAAACTCAGCAGCTGTCGCTAGTTCGCCCTAACCGATGTATAATAATACATATTTGATATTCTTTTATTGAACAGAACATCTGTTTCAGTGAAGAACATAGTTCGGACCTCTTTTCTATCAACGGAAGGCGTTGAAATTTTCCTCAATCAAAATTTAATTGTACAATTATTCTGAACGTTTACTTTGACCAACAATAATAAATGCAACGATAGTTTCTTTCACCATATTTTTATTTTTAAACGGCACTATTACTAAAAATAATTTGCGTTATTATGTCTACTGTTTTAAAAATTGATCCCTACAGGACATCAAATCAGACGCATATCTCTAAGAAAAGTTAATCACTGAAGAAAATTAGTATTTTATCACTGTTTAAGGAACAGTTTTTATCTTTTTGTGTCTTTAATATATGTGTACTATGTTCATTTAATGATGAACAAAGGACATAGGATGACAAAATAAGGATTGTAATTCTGTCTCTTAAACCCTTTTGTAATTGTATTGTATGACATCTACAAAATATTGATCATCGTATCATAGTAAATCCGACAAGTTCATTACAATTGGTTTATTAAAATTGAATCTGAATATCGGTCTTCTTTGCGCCACTGTGAACACACGTACTCTTCACAAAAATCATGTCAGACGATGACGATACAATAACTCACTCGGGATTTTGCTGCGTACAAAAAATATCCTTACGAGCTAGGTACGGCCTATGTACAGTCTACATACTAATTCGTCGAATGATTGTTGCGGGTGTGCGTGCGGATTCTGTACAACTCATATGCTCTCTGCCTAGCATGAGCAACAAAAGAAAGATCACAACTTGTGCTTACTCATGTAATCGAAGGCTTGACACGTAAAAAAGATTGTTAATGTTAGGAAAGAAATGCTGAAAGAAGTTATGCAATTTAAAATGTTTTTTGCATTTTGTTTATTTATAAAAAGTACTTTTAATCTCATTTTGTACTTTACGAATGTTCTTATCAGTTGCATAGCTTTTGCGCTGCTATGAATATGTTCTTGGCACGTAATCTTCCATAACGAAAAATAATTTTCTAAAAATATCATGTTTAGACCTTTTTATGTCAAGTCCCCAATATACGAGTGTGACGTGTTAGATTTAGATTGCATCCCAACTTAAAGTAATACTGCTTTCAACGTCGACATTAATGCATTATAGGAACTTAATGAATATTGCATACATATTAACTTAAATAATGTATAATTAAAAGTAAATTGAAAATCATCTTATATTTAATTTAAACGTCGCAGAAATAAATAACTTTCTGAAAGCAAGTATTACAACTATATTCGTTTGTCCGCACTAAATGACTGATGATTTTGCTGATTTATATACAAAACGTATATAACGTGTAAAAGTGACAAGATTATGATAAAAAAGTGATGCTTCCTGTTAGCTTTTCTCTGATCGAGAAGATGTTTAGCAAATATTTTTAGTATTATATTATAAGATTAAAGTTGAAACGATTTGTTATCAATAGCCACTGAATCAGTCGTTTATATCAGTCACTCAAACATTTTTGCTCCTGTCCTTTTATTTATTAATTATCCTGCGTCCTAAATCTTGATCAATGAGAAATTGCAATAATTATACATAGAAAATAACACAAAAATATAATATTTTAATGAAAACTGTTACAGGAAAAGGCAATTGTTTGTGGCAAATTTTATATTTGAATGGAGATCGAGTCGATATAAATAACAGCTGAATGAATAAAAAAAGCTTTGAAAAAACTGGAAAAATATATGTCGAATGACATTCAAATAGTACAGGGATTTATTTTGTGTTTAATTGGGAAGTGCTATGCGTTGTATGTATGTCTGTACGAAAATATCTGCACTGTACATTCTTTTTAACAAAATTATATTTATTTTACCATTAAACCAATGATAAGGGTCGAATTGTATTAAATTTATTTTTCAAGCATTTGTATTTTTGGAAACAATGAACAATGTCAAAATATTCTTGATATTGATATAAGAAATTGATCGATTTTACTTCGAAGTCACTTGGAGTCAACAGAAGATTAAAAATAAATTATTCCGATCCGAATTTATCTTTATGTTCTTTTAATCTGCTTTCTTTGGAATTTACTTATAAAATAAGCAACACTGCATGAATGTGAAAAAAATAAAAATTTTAGGAGATTATGTGACTTATGCTGCACAAAAAATTGAATTATATCGTATACAATATTTCTTTCATCAATTGCTGTAGTTAGTATCTTTGGAGCACGCAGTACACATACAGTTATGTACAATGCAAAAGATATGTATATAAAGCTTTAACTCATTTATGATGAATTAACCCCTTAAGTTATTATTGATTATAGATTTTGCTACAATTGATGTTACAATTAATAAAATCATTGTTATCGCGATAATTACACTTGACAAATTATATTTGAACACATTTCTTAACAAGTTCTTTTCCATTATGAGCAAATTATAATAGTTCATTCATTCATCGACATTTAGTTCTCTGTACTTTGAAGAGAACATTCCAACGTTCATTAAGGAGTTAATTCGAAACCATAGTGTAAAGTGTAAACCAAACATAAAAAAGGTAGTCAAATTATTTTGCACAGTTTTTCTACGGCTTTCCGCTAAAGCGGTGATCAAATATGGCAATCAAGGGATCAGGATCATAGGAATGGTAGTAAAGCTAAGAGAAAAAATTAAAACAACAAAATAAATATATATATTGTTATTTTCAACATACGCCACATGCTGATCGCATTGTAGATTAAGCGAAACAGAAAAAAAATGTATAAGTATATTTAACGATACACGCCGACAATCTCCGCGGTTTCGTCGACGGCTTTAAGGTCAATCAATAATTATTAAACAAAAAAGAGAATGAAGAAATAAAAGAATGAAACAAAAAGTGGACACGATTAAGAATAAGCGCGGAGTGACGTTACACGCGGAGACAGAAGGCGTATACCATCGCATACGCAACACTTACGTCGTATGTATACATCTGTATACACTGTATATTCTGTATACTCTGTATATAAAGATGTATACACGAAAGAAAAACATACATTTAATGCCCGAATACAGATGCGCGTCCGTACGTGCCACGTACGTAAGCGCGTATGCAAAAAAATTGCCAATGTGCATGTAAGGTAATTACAGCGATAAGTCTCGGTATTTTATTCGCATTCACGATTGTTCTTCGATCACCAATGGTTAAATCGATCTAATTAAAAGAGTAGGATTAATCGCGCCTTTCGGAGCATCTTAAAGATCTTTGTAATTTTTAAGTTACATAGATATTAATAAAATATAAATTTAGAATAGAAATTTGTCTCTCGTGTTTACTTTAATATTGTTATTGATAAAATACATCAATTATTTGAGGGCAAACTTGAATTGTAAATTCATAAAAGCATCTTAAAAATTTGGATTTTTTAATGAATTACCTTTATATGTCTAAGTACTCGTTGCAGTTGCTTAAGTACTGTTTGCTGCACCATTTGCAATATCTAAAACATTTAACATGTTGAGTACTGAGCACAAATATTTGAAATACTGTCTGTCGAAGTTCAATGTCTCATATCTCTCATACTGGCATTATTTTTACATGAGCATTTCTGCCGTTATCAAACTCTGGATTTTTATTAGCTATTAACATTTTAATTAAATCAATAACCGGCTAATTCTGTTATTTTATGTTTGTCTGTAAAATTAAAACATGACTTCAGCAACGCGTGTTCACATACAATGACTGACACTCAACATATTAAAATCAAGAATTTGTGCATTTTATGGACATGATTCATCATCTCGTTAACTCCGATAGTAGCGCATTCCCTATCTTTTAATAAAAAAAAAGGCATACAATTTGCATCAGAGGAGAGAAACGCGGTGGACGAACAAACTAAAAAAAGAACAAAAATTCGACTTATAGCCTGTAAGAAAACAAAAATAAAGAAGCACGATGGATTGTTAACGACGCAAATACGGTATACTCAACAGTATAACAGTAATCTTACGAGGTAATAGCTGAAACATTTAGAAACAAAAACATATTCTATCAACAGATTTAGATTACAACTGTAAAAATAAAGTACTAGTAATTCGGATAGACAATTGTATCATTTAAATATTAGTCGAATAGGATCACCGAATTGATCGGTCCGTATATACGAGAGAGAAAGAGAAGAAACTTATATTACTAATGTAAGGCAAAATTAGTTAAGTATAATTGACGTTTAAGAAGATAAACACAAGAGTAAATATCTCTCAGTTACGTGAGAAAGAGTATGATTACAATGATGCCAAAAATATTTATCTGCGCAATTTTGTTTTTTTGAAATACAAAGTGTTTATATCTCTTATATAAGACCTTTCTATATAATCTGAAACTTTGCGAGTACGAGTATATGCAACGATTTTGACGAACGCTGAAAACATTTCACATGTCACATTTTGCTTTCGTTAATCAATGTCCAAATTTATCCAATTGCATCTTTGAATATTTAACATGAGAACAAACATAAAAATAAGTCATTCATCGTATAAGTACATTGTCCCGTATTATTTAAAATATATACTTCGGTTTGGAAATAACCGTCTCAACGAGTGATCCTTATTTGACCGTTTAACGACCGCACATAATACGCGATTCGCTTGTACAACGAATGAATTAATTCGTGTGTTAGCGTCCGTAAAAAAAAAATCGGACATAAAAGTACTTGAATTCCGATTTTGGCTTACAAACTGATAGTCTGCCATTGCAACACTAAATTAGCGAGCGATCGACATTAGCAATTATAATAAATGATAATCACGATCGCTGTCGCGCACAAAGTGCTAATAATACATATAAAAGTAATAGAAGTATAGTTATAATTGTAATAATAAATGCCAATGATAGTATCGCCATCATTGGCAGGAGTACTGATAATATAAACATATAATACTAGTAATAAAATAATAATGACAGTATAATGACAGTAGTAGAATAATAATATTAAGTAATGATAAGAATTTTCTCTTATAATAATTGTAATCAAATTAGAATAACAGGTATAACTAGTAAAGATAAACATAGCAATAATAATAGCCATAATAAACGTAGCACTAACAACAGTGTCAACGCACGTGCTGAAGAACAATAGTGAAAATGACACGAACATAGAAGCGATTTTTCAATCATTAAACAATATTTGTGACTAGGCTCTATTTGTATATACGCACAAGACTAATGTGTACGCGTGCTCGTTTCCTATTGTTAGTTAATCGATTTAATCGATGTAGATCAGTGCTAGCCATCCACGCATAGTTTAAGTATCGAATATCACACTATTCCTCTGTCTAAAACTCCCTCTCTTGTAATATTTTACCTATATATTTAGAGATTATTACTTATGTGTCTGGTGACCATTTGTACACATATTAAAAAAGCTTGAAATTTAACTGACTTTTGCTAACTGTTATTGGTATTATCTTTGGACAGTTTAGATTTTATGATCAATTGTCTTGAAAATTTTGCTTAAAGTTCATTCCTTATAGCCATTTAGAAGATGACAAAATAATTTTTTTAATCTAGCATTTTCGAGCACGTCAATAAAAATATTTTCACATAATTGAATGTGTTTATGTGCTCTTTGTTTTCTAAGTACACATGATTTAAGGATAAGCAACTGTTGATTTATCGGCTTACATCACATATGAGGCAATAATATAGATATTCTGTACACAAATAGTTCTTGCTCATGCGTAGACTTTTAACACTGACTTGGATTAATTGTTAGCGTTGCGTAAGTACATGAATTAATTAAAGACACATCTTTGGTAATCCGGAGCACGACGTTCTCTACTACTCAAAGACAATCGCAAATGTTAGATAAAATTGCACGTTTGCACACATTTTACCTTGTAAAATTGACGTCGATGCTCCGTTTATTTGGTCTGACGCACGTGTGCATGTTAATTGCTGGTGACAAAACAAGGCTACGTACACTTAATCGTAAATAACAATTAATAATACAGAATGATACAATTTCTAATTTTAAAGATATGTCGAAAAATCATTCTTCTATGTCTAAGTTCATCTAAAACATAAATAGTCTCTGCAACCTTTCCAATTTTCAATTCAGAAATGATGTTGACACATTATTCTGCTTAAAATACTTAAAGAAAAACATAATAAAAAAGCATTATATATCCATTATTTTTACAAAAACAATAGAAACAGATACTGCCATTCAATAATTAGGTGCACGCAAACTTGTTTTGCTCAATATAGACAAGACTATGCGAGAAAAGAAATTGGAGGATATGTATTTTATCGAAACTGGAAGTGTGTGTTTATGAAAGGTGACACGACAATAACAAGAGGAAGTTGCGCAAGATTCAGTCGTTTGGATAATATGGCGAGCAAATTTCGAGAAACGACAATTGTTAATGATTTTGGAATCGTGGAAAATAGAACATGTATCGAGACATGATTTTTAATACTCGTGCCTTTAACTCATAGAATATAGAAGAGTTTAACAACCATACCTAAAGAAACAAAAACTTAAAGGTCTAAAAGATAAAGATATTCTTTTAATGGTTTCAGGTAGTAGTTACTGAATTTCTTTCTTGTTTCTTAGATAATTAAATAATATTTAGCATTCGTGGACGTCATCACCTTGATGATATCTCTGAATATTGATTAATCAGGATTCACACTCGAGGTGTAAAACATCTTTTTACGACTTAATATTAGTTGTTAAAAACTGTTTTGAAGAATCATAGTATTACATAGAATAAATTTTCTTTACTTACGCGGTTTTTTTTCATGATATATATAAAATTCAAATAAACAGAGAATGATTTCACAGTACGAGTCATGTATGAGAGGAGAAATATATTTTGTATTAATTCAGATTCTATCAAATGTAAATTCTTATTATGCAATGTAATCCAATTAAACGCAATCGATTTTGAAATATTTTTACGTTAAATTAACATCCACGAAGGCATTTTTACATTCAGACTAGAGTACTTAAAATGACTTCTTTTTAATCACTAACCCTGTATGTATATTCTTGTACGATCTTGATTTGTTTCGTTCGAATACAATCATCGCACAACTTCATCGTGCAACCAATTTTTACGATGTTCGTCCAACTGAAAATATTTATACTAACGTTCTATCACGTGTTCTTGGAAATATTCCACTCTATATATTTTCTCATTTATATATTATCTGCACCTATAAAGATAAAATATATAAATTGCACCAATTGCAACGTAAATATTGATACGTTTGTTTTCTCTCGATAAGTTTGGTATAACAAGAATTGCAATCATCAATCATTTTCAGAAGTAATGCGAAAATAAGTCTCACGTAGAATCACATTTGTTTGTTCGTTTAATTATTCGAAAACAATATTTTATGATCGATAGAACTTTTGAAAAATTAACACACTTTCCCATTTACTTCTACAAAGCAAATTCATGTTCAATATTAAGAATGAGTTATCCCAAAATATCTTGCGTATTGATGTAATACTATTCGAGTGAATCTCTTCTTTCTGCTCGCGAAATATTTTGCAATTACTATAGCAATTCTTTTCCTTTTCCATTTACAGTATATCACCTTGATGAGAAACTTTTACTTCGTTGAATCGAGCCAGACAACCCCGTCCGATCGATCCGGTACGTAATTTTCATGAAGACGTATAAGATTACTCGCAATTAATTCGACGAAGAAGACAATGCAAGTGCGCGGTCGGGAAACTCGTCCGATATTAAAATTGATTAAAAATTTGTCGCATCTCTCGTGTACTTGTCTATATTCGCGAAGTGTCTTTGACGGCGTAATAGAACTGGATGCACGAATGTGTGACGCCTGATGTGCTATTCCTGAGCGACCCGGCCCAGTTTCGGCTTGAGACCGCAGTCCCCTGTACGATACAATCTTATCACAAAGTCATTTACTACAAAATGTCTCTTATATTCGTTTCTTCGCTGTCTATCGGCTTCTTTTTTGTTTTAATTCTTTGTATCCGTTATCGTTTTTGGTATACTTGTCACGATTTAAGCCTAAGAAATCGCACGCGCATCGATCCCGCACGATCATTGTTCGTCCGTTCGCGTTTCCCTTTCCAGCCTCCGTCTCGCGCGCATTTTCTTCTTTATACACGCGCATTTATCTCGTCTACACGCCCAGTTTGCCGCGATACATACGCACGGTACATATGCATATGTATAATTTTATGTATAAACAGGTGCTGCGAGGCGTTGACAGCGATCCCGATAGTAGAGCCGATAAAAATAGTTCTCAGTCGGATAATTCGATTTATGAACATGTATATGTATAATTATGTATAAGAAAAATTTCTCTCGCACAGCTCGTGCCGCGCGTTCCTCGCTTGTCCTCCTTCGTCCTCTTTCACCGCAAGACGTGGAGCGTCGCCTGCCGTTAGCTCAACCACGAGAGAATCCTCTTCGCACGCTCTCTAACGCACGCACATACCATACACACGTACACATATATGTGTATATACATATATGCATAATATATTTATATATATATCTGTATATATACAGGGGTAGAGGGGAGGAGGGGAGAGATTGGACAGACAGTTAACATAGCGCGTTAGCTTCGTTCGAGGAACCCAGGTCGGTCGTCGGTGCATCGTCCTCCTTTCCGTTCCACTTTCTCGGCCCTCTTCATCGTGTTCCTCCGCATCTCGTGCGCATCTCTCTCGGCCGCGACAGTTCTTTCGCTCGCCCAGCAACGTGGAACTCCCCCTGCGTGTCCGAGGATTCGTCCGGCGGGTTTTTGTACGCGCAGGTGCGACCGAGAGGGACGATCCTCTCGGTGCGATCGCGAGGAACGACGTCGCGACTTCGTGGACAGGCGGGTATGGGCGCGCGAGAGGTCGAGGGGATGAAATGAAGAGATAGAGATAGAGAAGAGGTCGACAAGGCGGAGGATCTTACGGCAGAAATGAGAGCGCGTGGGCGGGTGTTGCTCTTTGTACAGGCACCGACAGACACAGATAGACTGATCGAGAGACTGACCGGGGAATTGTGTGACTGATCGACCGGTCGACCGGTCGAGCGAACGACCGGCACCGATTTGACTGACTGAGACTGACATGGCACGGCGACTCCGATCGAGAGTACACGGTCACAACGTCACAGGCCACCTGCTGGCACACAAACAAACACACGGACATGTTAGTCACCACCACACACCAGATATGAAGGTTCATCCCCGAGCAGACGCGCGCGGTGAACGGCTCCTCCGAGGCCCCGCCAGAATCTACCGCGCCCAATTGTCTCTGCGGACTCGCGTCTCAGATAACAACGGATAGCGACAAATCGTACCAATTTTTAACTCGTTTAGTTGCTGTTATCCGCCGCAGAACAAACATGTGTTCACGGGACCGTCAGTTCCTTGAGGAAGAGGACCTCGCGGAATGAACGCAATATCAGAGGATAAACTTATAAATTTCGCCATTTCTTCGATGATTAAAAAGGAAGAGCTAGTAATATGAATTCGAGATATTGTTTTATTGAGATGTAATAACGTTTCGATAAAACAATACCTCGAAGGCTGTCCGACAAGACAATTAGCGAACACGTCATACAGAATGAGAATTATCAAAGTGCATTGAAGAATCAAACGGATTGCTCGCGGGGCCTCCAAACCGACGACACCGTGCATCGTGTACGCGGGTACTTTGCCGAGTCGTCCTTTTTGAACACGAGCAACGAGCGTCCACTTTATTCAGCTTGACAGACAGTCACAAGGAAAGAGAAACAAAGTGTTCGACAGCGCATCCGTGAAAACTCGTTGCTAATGCAACGCAAACGGTGAAACTCGCCAATTGTTTCCAGACTTAGATTACAGATAACAGCCGCAGCGGTTGTTCAGTTACGTCTCTAACAGCGGGTGTGGATTCTGAGAATATTTGAAGGATGTCACAAAGTGAATATTGCAAGGGACGTTCCCCCAGTATATTAGGACATTTAATTCCACAGATTATTTCAGTGATGTCACTGCTATTAAGCAACATCTCTCCTACAACAGCTTTATGGTCGAGAATCATTTGTTACCGATTGCGCTGAGCCAAAGTCGCGACGATAAAGCGAAGTAACGACAAGTACATGCTTCTCGAGCATAAATTAGTTTCTCATGGAAATAACTGGCTTGCCCACCGCTTGCGACGATCGGTTGCATATCCTTCCCCCCTCCCCCCAAAAAAATCACATGGCAATGTTAGTATTACTAACTAATAAAGCGTCGTAGCGTGATTAACCATAGAAAACTTAGTGATATTATTATCTCACGTGAGAACGTATCGAATTCTGTGCGTTTCGAACAATAAACGAAGGAGATACACGCGATGTAATAGCTGCTGACATAATTACAATGAGTGAGAGAGATCTTTGCGTTTATCGCTCGTATCTGCCGGCTGAATTGTACCGGCTCAAACTACCGTGGTTATTGGTATGGAGAACAAAATAGAGAAATTAAGAGATATAGAGATAAAGAGAAACAAATTATAAAAAATATAGAAAGAAAAACAGAGAGAGAGAGAGAGAGAAAAGTCAAATCGTCAAATGGTTACGAGGTACGGACTCGAACGCTGCGTGAAAATTCAAAGCAAACTAGTCTTGCCCTCCTAGGGGAAAAGCTACGTTGTTAGTGAACTTCACGTACGTAATTTCACTTTGTGCAACAGTAAGTTAGCACAGAAAGCTTTACTGGCAGCCTTTGCAACGAAATGTAGTTTGATTGCATCATCCGGGAACGTGCCGCCAGGCTTGCACCTTCGAGATTCGAAGAGACGAACATATTTTCGAGATCGTGCGATAAGTACGGGCGGGTATTACAGGTGAATATTTGAAAAACCCGTACCGTTGCGCATTTAGCGATGAACGTTGCTATTCCCACCATACGTTTATGTTATGCGTGCTAGAGAGAGCGAGAGAGACAAACCGAATTCAGAAATGAACGAGCACGTTTAACGCTAAATGCGCGCCACTAAAACCCATTTCCTCTGGGTGTAATTTTAACCTGATGTGAACTTTAACCCGAAAATCGAGTCAAGTTTAAACTAAGAAGACTTTATACGTCTCATGAATAAACAGAGAAGTCTTTAGAATGGCTAGTGCCATTTAATTTGAAAACTGAATACCGATTGTTTTCGTGAAGGCGGAAGTCGATTTGAGATATTCGAAATGGGTAGATGTATTACAATCACATCACGAAGCTTTTACATGCAAATTTCTCTGTCTTCTATAAAAGCGTAATAAAATATTCGCATATCTCTTGCATGCAAAATCCCTTATTTTTGAGAATATATAAACAATACTCAACATATATATGTATCGATGTTTCTTAAAATTCGATAAAATCGCAAAGGTGCTTTCGACGAGAAAAACAACACAATTCATTTAATTCCTAAAGGAATTGATCGCGCGTGATTATAATTAATCTTAATTATTTATATCTCGTTGGGTTCACTAAATCTGAATAAACTCTAGAAATCGGTCATAGTCTCTGATGAAATCGATCATCACAGACACTACGAAATCAAGTGGTCTGAAATGGTAATAAGCTAATACTGATTTGTTAATCCTATCCCGTCTTCTGTTAAAATAATTGAAATGGATTGTCGAAAAAAAAGCAGGGGATTTCTATATTTAACTCGGCACTGGAAAAGTTAACAGATGTAATACGATATACAATCGTGACGTGGCACGGGACGTGAACAGAATAGACAGATTGTTGGATTAAAAAATGTACTGAAATGTGTTCACACATGGGCGGACCGGCAGGTAGAAGAGAGAAGACAGTTCGGCGGGACAGTTCGCACAAGCGACACGTTAAAAGAATAAATTACGTTCCTGCACCTCGGAAGAAAAGTCAGTCCGACGGAGACAAGAGAGTCTTCTGGATTATCACAGCCTCGTTTCGATAGGACGGCGAAGGTGTCGAGCGGCGACGTCTCCTCTTCGGCGTCTGAGAACGCTCGATCATAGCCCGTTAACTCGCTACCTTCGTGGAAAATACTGCTTGACTAGAGAGTATCTTGGATACACTGCCACCTAATATACTTTCGCATGTCTACCTAGACCTATCGCTAGACGCGATTCCGCTGCGGAATAATCATCAACCATCGCGGTTGTTAATTAAATGCACGAGCGTCGTCCCGACTAAGGACGCCGTCGGGCCGAGGTGTCCGAGTAGTCCTTGGTATCTACCTACGAACGTTCTGTGACATCAGCTAGTACGGCTTGCAAGCGTCCTTGGACCGTTTCAACTGGACCTTCAGTCGCTTCATGCCAATCTGGAAACCGTGCATCGTTTGGATCGCCGCTTGCGCGCTCGACGCATTGTCATACGATACGAAACCTGAAACAATATTGCAAAATGCAGAACGCATGCATTCCATTCGTCCGTGCTGCTCGCAAAATTTATTTGTGTGTCTAAACACTGGTGTCTCATCCCATCCGTTTACGTAAATTTAAACTTACCAAAGCATTTACTCATGTGCGTGTGCTTATCTATGAAAACTTTGGCGGATATGACGTTGCCGAAGGGCAAAAAGGTAGAGATGAGGTCTGTGTCGCCGAATTCCTGCGGCAGGTGGTAAATGAAGAGGTTGCAACCTTCGGGACCCTCGATCTGCTTGTCCGTGCTGGCGAACTTAGTCTTCTGCGCTGCCGCCGCCGCAGCGGCCGCGGCTGCCGTGAACGCGGGGAACCCTGAAATCCGAACGTGTTATTGATGACACTCACGCTACGTTATCGCGAGGATACAATATCAGTCATATATTCCTCCAAGTGACGTAAATCTCATGTTAAAAACGTCAACGTAACATATTTTTTTATAAATTTCGTCATCCGATCTTATAATTGCACACCAATTATTTCTCCAGTTATTTATTATCTCCAGTTATAATTGTACACCAATTATTTCTCCAGCTTGATTTACATCACAATGGACAGTTCCGGTTATCAGTACAACTCTATGCAATGGCTTGGCGCGTCCCAGCGTACAGAGACACACCAGACAGGCTTGACTGATTAAATCTATCTGAATCGCTTGAATCCACTCTAAATAATATAAGCATTTAAGCGTATTATACGATAAGTAGAATGAGAAATAATTAAATATTCAATGATATACCCGAATATATGCGGTACTATAATATATACGGTACTAGAAGAGAAAATATAATGCAACTTTATAAGCTCTCCAATATTTGCAACCGTGGCACTACAACGCACGCATTTCCACTTGTTCAATTTTCATGAGTATATCTTGTGCGCTGGGATACATGGATGTTCCAATAGGCACATGCGAACCTATCGGCTGTTTTTCTTTCAAACATTCATTTGGTTCACTTCCATATTCCGGTAGCTAATTTGCTTTAATCGCAAATTAATTGGCACAATTTAAAAATCCCTCGTATTTGCATTTGATTTTATACAATGTTCCGCAGGGAAGATATAAAATTATATAATTCGAGCTGGGGCGCTAAATGTGCGATATCAAATGTGCCCAGAGCAATATCAAAGGCAAGGAAAAGCTGCCAATTTTTATTTAAGAATGAATCTTGTATGTTATATGACAATTCCGTAGCGTGCAAAGAAATGTATTAATTCAAAAGTCAACCATATGAACGCTTAAAACGTGGGACAATCCACAGAAATATAGATTCAGGCAATCTACTCATTATTACTCACTATGCAATTCTTTCTTTTCCACGGTCACCGTCGTCTTTCCAATGAGAGCTTTAATGCGCACAGTTTACTTATTAGAAAGTAACCTTTTGCGTATTCACGCGAATGCAGAAAGGCAGTGTGGACTGCGCTTAACGATTTTCTGTGTACATCGAAAGTGGCTCGACGAGCCAAATAATTACCTGCATACTGCTGTAAGCTGGAATAGGCGTTGCTCAGCGAGTCCTGAAGTCCGTTTAACGGCGTCCCCGTCAAGGAATTGAGCGTGAGAGATGTTACAGGACTAAGACTGCCCCCGGTTGACCCTTGAAGACGAACATTATTTGTTAACTTTTACAGATTCTCAAGCATAAAATTCAATACCCAAGCCTAATCGTTTCTGTGAGCATGCCTCACGTGCCGCGACATCGCAAGAACGTCAGTCGCTCTGTTTGTTATTAGAGGCAAAAAGCAACGTTTTTGTGCAATACAATACATTAATTCTATCAAATATTGCTAATTCATATTTTTATACAAGGAAATCTACTTAAAAGAGGAGCAAGATCCTTTATTTAAAAAATTTGATATGTACTCTTTATCAATCTTTCTACATAGATTATATTCATTATTTTATAAAAGTCTGGATTTACAGTTAAAAATTTAAATTCTTAATTACATTTTATTAATATTAAAATTAATATAATAATGAATTTTATGATAACCATCTCATATCGAAATTATTAGTAAATCTTAATTAAAATGTTTAAATAGCGACGTAAAAATACCCTTAAGACGTCTTTAAAATTATTTAAAAACCGAAAATACACAAAAAGATTTATAAATAAATCTGCAATATGAATGAATGAATAAAATTGCGTTTCAATATGACACATGTATTAAAATATTTCGCTTGACAAGAGTTTAATTAATATTTTAACAGTTTAAATTTTACAGCACACACAAGAGCAACGTCATTTCTCCTATGGAGATCTCGTATGGAGGTAGAAATTCTCCATACAATGAAATATTAATGATAACGATTTAAAAATATTTTTAAGTATAATACGTCTTCATGCACGATCATTTATACGGTAAAAAAATTTACGCGCCAATACCCGGGTTAATAAGCGTTTTACGAAACAGTCCTGCTCTTCTTTTTCATTATGCACAGATAATGTTGCCGATACATTCTTATTACGGAAAATCGTGCACCCATTAATTGCGATAAGCGTTTGTGCAAGAATCGTATACTCCCAATACATCTCAAATATACACACACTGATTTAGATCATATACATATTGTTAAATCTACAATTAACGATTGATGGAGAATAAAAATCTGTGTGTTCCTAAAAGCACCAGCGAGAGCTCGCCAATTAATGCATTAATTCAATATCTGCGAAAATTTTTACAACAATTTAATGCGTAGCACCAATCAGTTACTAATTGGCTTGACTATTCATATTCGTGACTACAATAGATATGTACAGGGTAACATAGATATCATCACGATATCATCACGACCTTTCAGCTTATAAAATTCAATGACGTGACATGCAGTAGAATATTTTCCTCGGTGATTTTAATTGAATGCTATTTTTTCATCCTTTTCCGTCTTTTCAATATTTCTCATGAAATATTTTTGTGACATATATTTAAATTAAAATTAAAAATTCACTTGGTCGAGAAATGAGATTATAATGTCCTTTTTTTTCATTCGCAAACATTTTAGTCGTAAAAATCTATAATTATCAAGTACTTAAATCTATTTTAATGCCTTAACATAAAATAAACGGGCATGGGACACCTCACATAGTCTTTAAATTTTGGGGGGTTTTTATAACTGATAAAAGAGCACTATATGATATATACAAAACTTAAAATACAGCGTTGGTCGAAGCAGGGGGGACCCATATGAGTAATGAAATCTACAGGCAACAATAATTATCAATGTTGCATTACAATATACAGACGACAATAATAAAAAATATACAAATGTAATAGAAAGGGAAAATGACAAGAAGGGAATTCGAAAGAAAGATGTATGTTGTGATACACGATAAAGAATGCGAATCAGCCAAACAATTTCTCTTCCTATGAGTATCTCACCTGTATTTCCTGTTTTTCCCAGAAGAGCAGCTATGCACGAAAAAAAATACGCAGCGTTAAAATTGTGATGTACATTCACATAAAAGAAAGAAAAAAACGTTAAATATACGATTGCAATTCGTTACGACGTATTCAGCGCGTTATAAAGATAATAGAATACTTCTACTTGCAGCTTAATACAAATTTACATAATAGCATAAAGGCAAACCTCACAAACTGTCAGCAAATATAATTTCTGCGGGAAACTATGCCATATGCTCTTATGTAAATTTCTGTGCAATATCACTACATATTCTAATTCTTTTTATATTGTGTACGTTTAATAGAATTTTGTTTAATAAATTTTTATACAAAATGAAAAACATAATTTAACATTTTATGATAAGCTCTAGAGAAAGAAATCATTAGTTTTCTTGGCAGATAAAACTCGATCGTCACGTTATTAAAAAAAAATAGTTAAGTAAATTCGATTTTTAATTATATAGCTGAAAAATTTTTATACAACATTTTAATTCTTTGCATCGTAATTAAAACGACTGTTAACTGAAATACTTGCTTTGGTATTTTGGTATTAACTCGAAATAATCTATGAATTACGGTGTAGTCATACAAGATGAATTTATGTCCACCATGAAGAGTGATAGAAACAGAGAATATGAGGAAATTCGAGGGAAAGGGAGGGAGAGTGTAAGCACGTGCACACGCGCACACGTGCACGTACACTATTAAATAAGCGAAATGGGGAAATCAGACTATCAACAGGATTAGGGCCCCTTTTGCATGATCGAAATTAATTTAGTAATTGTTAATACTGTACCAGGCAATACGACACGTACATAGCGACATACCTGCTGTCGAATTCGCCAGGCCGCTTAATGCTGAAACACAAAACACGTTCGCGATATTAGCGAAAGCAGAGTCGATAATATGTACATGGTACATAATCACGTGAAACAAAGCTTTGACGAAATTTTCCCGGCAATGCCACCGATATTGTATTTTTAATGGCCACTAAACAATTTGCAAAGTCAACGATTTCGCTTGTATGAAATTAATACAGGTGAATCAAATTTGCGAGGCGAGTTGGCAAAAAAAAATAACGTCTGCAAAAAATACTTGTCTTTTGCTATCACATTTTAATATAAAATGTAAGCAAATTATTATTTGAACATTTTATTAGATAAAGTAATAATTATTCTGTGAAACCAATTTTGTATAATAAACTGGAATAGTTGCAATAAATTAATAAAATCGACATTCACAAGTCAAAAGCACAATAAAAATTTTAAATAATTTTTCATTAAATATATTTTTTAGTTATTTATTATAATTTAGTATAAAAGCACTTGCAATACCTTCCAAAAATTAATCGCTGGTTTATGTTAATAATTTAAATGTATATAATTCATTTTTTCAACTATACAGTTGAGCATAATATAAATTATTATAAATGCAAGCACACTTCTAATCTCTTATTTTGCAATATTAGGATTTACTATTTCTACTCGATGTCGACTAGACTGTTCATTACAACTGTATAAAAAACTCGTTTCTGTGCAAATAACACTCCAACGACTCTTCTTACATGAAAATCACAGTGAAGCAATCTGCATACTTGACTTATTTCTCTATTGACTTTACATAAATCATAGAAGAAGCATTATATCGTGTACATGCAAATTAATAAAAGTGTGTTAGTCTTGTTGATACGAATGAGAGATAATAATTACTCAATTAACTGTGAAAACGTACATCTTACCCACAGACTTTGTATATTTACACGGTTTAGTGTACACAATACGATAAAGATATATACATATAATTAAAATTGTCGTTTTATTCAATATGTTATCTTGTCATTTAATGATCATATTTCACGATTGATCATTATTTCTTAATTTAGGTTTAATCACCAAATTTGTTTAGTAGAATGCGTGAAAATTCATTGTCAGTGATTGAAATATTAGTTGTCAAATCATTTAATTAGTTTAGCTAATTTCCTTTTAATAGATATTATTGTTTCAAAATTTCCCGTTTTTTTAAAAATATATAAATACTGCAACGTGCAAAACTAAAATTGCCCGTTCGTAGAATATTTTTTTCTCCCGGTTTCTATGTATTGTATGGTGTATTCTGGAACACCTTGTTCTCATCGTATTGTCATTACAATTACAGGCTATTAATACAGTTTGCGAAGATACATTTGAACATGCTGTCGCATTATTACTGTCATTCCAATCGCGACTTCGGCCGCTTTACCGTGCATGTACCTACAAAAGCGTGGACGGTTCACCCATTCGCCTGTAACTTTAACAACGCATGCAATCATTAAACTCGGACTACACTCAAGCGGATTTACCGTCTACAGCGAGTAACATACGTGACGCATAAGCATACAGGTGTTTTGTACAATTGGTAGGAGGACAATATAACGTGGTCCGAAGTTATGCATATAATTCGAAGCACCGGACAGTTCCGCACGGAACCTACAGCTGCACATTAACGTACATAATGTGTTCTCTGATTATGCGTCTCGCAAAATATTCTCTACTCACTGTTTGGCGACACCTGGAGATTGCCGTTTCCACCGGTCATAGCTGCCAGAGTGACAAGGTTCTGCATACTCATTGGCGACACGCCCGCGTTCGCTGCAACATAATGCGTCAGAATTTATTGTAGAAAGCCCCAGTGCTCTAGATTTATGTACCATGATGATGAATATAACGCACCATTTAACGGTTGGCAAAAAAAAGCTTAAATCAAATTTAGTCTAATCTGAAATCATTTAGCAATACATCTTTCTGAAACATTTTCTTTCCTTTCCAATGGTATTTTTGATGATATTAAGAATACTAGTATTTTAATTACTGTTTTTTTTATGCATTTTGATGTATTTTATATTCAAGTACTTATATTTGTACTCTCTCTTTCTCTCTTCATCGCGTATTGAAAGTAGGCTACATCATTCTACACGTTTGATTCTTGTATATGTGAACTCATTGCTTGACACTGGAACGTCATCGAAAAAGCATACGTTCCGCAGCAATAATGGTAAATATGTGTGTCAGAGTAAAGATAATGACAGCCTAGTACAGAGGTACGTATACATCATCGTCCTGGCATTCTTCCCGATCCCATTAAATGTAGAATTTTATTATTGCCTCGGTAAGCCGGCGCAGGACGTTTCGTTATAACTTTCGAAAAGATACGACCCATGGGACGCGATCGTACGCGGTGGAAGTTGGAGAACGTAAGCGCGAAATAATATAATTTATTCTGACACCGATATGAGACTGCGCGGACGAGTAATTTTAGCAAAGAAACGGATAAAATCTCATTTTGCTAGGCAAAGCGGATCGATCATATTCTATGATATTTTACATTGAAATGATGGTGGGCAATTGACATATTTTCGAGCAGAAACGGATCATCTCCCAAGAGGAATTATATATTTAAATTTACCCGCGCGCAAGGTTTTTAACTTGTTCGCAAAAATAGATCTTCTATAAGTACTAGGACATCAGTATAAAGTCAGGTCAAAAGGTGACGCGACAAAGTTAAACCTGCACATTTAAAAGAGATACGCTTAAAGATTGCATATGCCGCAGTTACAATATTAGAAATGTGAAAGAACTGACGCAATCCATAAGATATAATTGTAAGTGCACTAACGGCTGGGTGCGAGTTAGCGATTTTAATATATTCATGCGTTGTATATACATTAATATGTCTTGGCATAAAATCCAACAAAGATTCTTCTACGATCATTAGAATAGTGCTGGTGCGATATGCATTTTATGCTAACATTAACATTAGCGAAAAGATTTACTCTTATTTCAAGAGATTGGATATCTATTAATTTTATTAAAATCTCTCCTCGGCGAAAAGTGGAAACTAAATAAGCGCAAATAGGCGAAAATAAAAGAATAACAATCGACACTGACCATACTCACCAGCTGTGTTACTCAGGGACGCGAGGGTGGCTAGACTTTGCAGATTCGCGGGGTTGATCTCTGCTGGACTGGGCACAGCGGGGGGTGCTGCGTGCGCAGGTGTTGCCGCGCCAAGGCCAAGGTGTTGTTGCAGCAGTAACTGATGTTGTACGTTCGACAGCGCATTCGCCGCTCCCGCGTTCGCGGCGACCGGGGTCGCAGCACTCGTCGTCGCCTGCAACTGCTGCAGAAGCTGCAACGATGTAGGCGCCAAGGTGTGCGCGTCGTTCTACAAGTGCAAACAGGATTTACATCGATTATTATCGCTGTTATGTCCAATAAACTCATTGTAATGCGCCTGTTTTTCTATAGATACGACAACATTTCATCTTAAATCTGCCGATAGTTAATTCACTTAAATAATTAGTATAAAATTTTATTTCCTTTAAGTTAAATACCTTTAAATCTCTAATCAAACTTTTGATCTAATTT